GGTGCACCGGAGCCCTCCCATTTTGTGCTCCGGAGACCTCCCATTTGTGCTCCGGAGCCCTCCCATTTTGTGCACCGGAGGTGTCCCAAATCTAGCGTATCTCCGGAGCGCAAATCTCTGCTCCGCGGCACTCCCAAATCTGGCGTACCTCCGGAGCAGAGATTTGCGCGTCCCGAAGAGGGGTTCCATTCGCCTGCTTGTGACGTCACCGTGGCCTACAAGATGGGACCCCCCCCCTTCCCCGCTCTCAAGGGTCAGTTCGGTCCTCCGCGGCTCTGCCAATTTCGACTGTCCTCCGGAGCTACGGCACCGACTGTCTGAGCATTTAGAATTTAGCATTTTTTCACGTGAGATCGGTGATTTCGCGTGGATGAAACTTTTCACAAGGAGACAAACGCAAATTTGTATAAGTTTTTGAATTTGTCAGGGCTTGGTAGTCGCCATAAAGGCAATAGTAATCGTGAGCTACGTCTCTGTGCGAAAATCTTCTGAAATGCTTGGCTAGAACCTTGGCAAATTGACCATTTACTCAACCAATTTTTTTGGCGCCGTTCTCGTTATGTAGTAAACTTTTGACCACTTTTTGGACTGAAATCCATCGTTTGTACATTTGCTAACCACACACCCACGACTTTGCAAAAAGTGGTGATACTGACTCAATTTTGCGAAACAGAAGCCAGGTGGATCCGTTTGGCGCGCAATTTCTGAGGGATTCACTCAACGAATCTACTCATGCTTTTGCATGTTAGACTTTCATAAAGGGAGCATGCGCTATGCAAAATTTGGACTCGGAACACTGGCTGGAACACGCTCTAAGAATCTCGTAACAGACGGACACCCACGAAAACACGTAAACAACCCTTAGCCCGTTATCATAAGGTCTTGATTAACAAAACTAAAAAAAAGAATCAAGAGAGAAAGAGAAATTAGGGAGGATCCCCTCCCTCCCCCCCCCCCGGTCGACGTTTTTGGGAGGCGAGTGTCCGACACTACCACTGTCACTTTTGGGCGGCCAGTGGTAGCTGGAACAGAATTCACTTCTGGGGGCCTAGCTCCACCCATCGCACCTCTGCTCGTACACCTATCACTTTTGCAGGACTTTATAAACTACTGCAGAGACTGTAGCGGAAACTCCGCATGTTGTGAATCAAGCCTTCTCGATTTTCTGCCGTGGTCAGAAGCTGTAGGCTGGCTATATTGTCGCTGTGCAGTCTATGTACGTTTATCTGTTCTCCCCGGTTCAAGTTCGGCAATGCAGCAAGCAGGTGGTTGGTAACCTTTTACCCATGGCTTTTTCATAATTAACTGAGGTGGCGACAATGGCACATTTTTGCAGACATTCATTGTACATGCATTTGTGCATGTTTAACGTAGCTTATTTCAGTTTTGAATGCAAAGTTCTAGAAGTTACGCGTATAGTCCAGCGTGCCACGCTATTTAGCAAACCTACTCGCTCATCTTCGCTCGCAAGCGTATTTCGTATATATAGTAGTCAAGGTGTTCGTAAAAGTTAAGCAAGTTATAAAAACCGCGTTAGGCCTCGGGCAAAGTTCACTCAATTTGCCTCGCGATTCTCCAATAAGACAACTGTTACGGGTTCATTGCGTGCCAATCATCTTGCATCTCGGTTGTGATAGTTTTCCAACAATCGTGACTAACTATCACAACAGAAATGCAAGATGATCGGCATGTAGACTCGTAACCAGGGTTGAGCAAGAGCTCAGGCACAAGTCCTTCAAAAACGACCCCCCCCCCCCCACATGTGAAAGCCCCTAAACGATCTCGACTTCACCTCCAAGTCCTAGGGTGTTGTATTTTGAAGAAGACAGCCTTCACTGCGGGCTTCTGTTTTTTGAATGTCTGTAGACCCGACTTTCTGCAATTGCACAACCACACGCAACTTGACGGCAAGTTTTAAATCTGGATAGTCCTTTTTTCAGAGCTATAATTTTCACAGGGGTGGAGTGTTTGGCTCCAAATTTCAATATAGCATGAAGAGGCTTTGCGCTCAGTACTCATATCAAAAAAGGGGCGATTTTTGAATAAGGCAAGTTAAGAAGGTCAGGCGCAACCCCCCAAAGCTCAGGCGGCCTGACCTTTTGAGGGGTTGCGCCTGACCCCATTACTCCATTTTCGAAAAAGCTTTTCTATCCAAGTTTATGTGATTTGCTAGCTCAACCCTCGAAGATTCCACAATAAGTGTTTGAGCTTGTTTCGACTTGTTTCGGTCTTGTGCTAATCCGAGGAGTTGAAGCACTCAACGTGAAAAACGCGCCGGTTGGAATTTTGGCAGCACTTCTTATTTCACTGTTTGAAAGTGATATGAAGCCCGATTTGTAGCTTAGACTTGTAGAGAAAATTACTATGTTATGAGTGTTCAAAAGCTGACTTTTCTCATTTCTCAAACCAAGTTGATCACGTTTGAAAATCACGCTTTTAGACGTTGAGAAACACTAGAAGCTGCAGTAGGTAATGGTTTGTAGAGCGCACAGAGATAATTTGACATGATGATTATGGAAATGATATCCATTTCACACAGCAAGCTTCCTTGTCGATCTCATATGTCAAGGTAAAAAGAGATGAAGATTTGAATTTTGGCTGAAGCTTCCATAGTGAAAACAATCAGTATGCTGTTTATGATCGTCATTCCTTCATGTGATCGCGGTATTCACATCGGACTAGCGCATTTCTTCTTCACCTTCGCAGTATCTCCCCAACTTAACAAATTCGATTCTTAATTACGACCTCCCCCCCCCCTCACTCTCACCCTCAATACGATCCCCCATGTCGGACGCGCCTGACCCCACGCTCAACCCTGCTCGTAACTGTTGTTTTGTTAAAGAATCACAAGGCGATGAAATCGCGTGGGCAACTGGTATAGAGCCGGCCTCTGCCGAGGCCTAAGATGTGCTTGGAACCCTTCTATACCAAGCCCATGCTCCAGTTGAGGTGCTGAAAAAATTATATCGATATTGATCTCTACTCAGATAATCGCCGGGGGCAGGCGGTCCGCAAACTCGCGCTTTTCTGCAAGCGGTCAGCAAAATTTTGGAGCGCGGCCAAACCTTCAGCGAGCGGTACTTCCCTATTCTGCCAGCGGGCAGCAATACAGAATTTTCTGCAAGCGCTCGTCAAAGAATTTCTTTCAGCGAGCGCTGACTAAACTTTCAGCAAGCGCTCGGACTCCTTTCATGCACTTTCGTGCGTACGCCGAGCTAAGGTAAGGCTCTACCTGGCAGAGGTGTCTTCGATGGTTTTATTACCCAAGTTTGGGGTACTTTCTCTCAGCGGAAAGTACCTGAGGGCTGTGCGGTCCTCCACAAAGGACAGCGCGGCCCTCATTAATTTTGCATATTCTCGCGGAAAGTCCGCGAGAATGCGGCCAATGCGCCGCAACTAATCCATAAGAAAACCGCGACACTTCTCCGAGCATTTGTCAAAAAATTGAACAATATTCTTCCAAATTTCTGCAGGCGGAGCGCAAGAAATCAGCGAACTATCTTTCCGGTGCCCGCTTGCCCAAAAATCGCATGGCCGCCTGCCCCCGGCGATTATCTGAGTAGGGGAAAGTAGCTCCAGGCATCCGCTGTTTGCGCGCAAAGTTTGTTTTAAGTCACCTAAGAATTGGGCTTTTTTTTTGTTCGGAAGATGCAAATATACATATCCACACAAAGCTACATGCCTGATTTGATTTAATGTTCAAATGTTTGCTTAAAAAAACAATAAAACAAGAAAGGATCGACTTGGCTGCGCCGTACGAAGACGAAATTTTATTGAAGAGCGGTAATTCATTAGCCGCAGAGCGCTCGAGGTGCTGGTTAAAATTCGCGCGCGCCGCGTTCATGCCAGCTCAACTAACTTTGCTTTTGCGCCTTCGTCCGAGCCTCTAAATGCAGTGTCTCCCAATATTGCGAAAGTGCGGGTTTTCACATAGCTTGCATCAAGTCCTGTTTTCAGCCCTTCTATGCTCACGATTTTGCACCCAAAGCGGCCCGCCGCGATCTGGCCCGCAGTGACCGATGCTCCGGTTTCCTTTAACATCTCCCTTCACTTGGCGTCCACCTTCATGGTGTTGCTGGCACTTTGGTGGAGGACTGCATGAAAGGACAACTCTTCTTCGCGTTCCAGGGACTTTTGAAGTCAAACAAGCTTTTTTAAATCTTTATCTTTATCTTCGTCTCATACACGTGAACGTGTGCTAAAGCGTGTGTGAGTAAAGAAACATTGCTAGAGTAAAAGACTATCCTGTCACCTTCCAGAAGAATAAACAAACAGCGAATAAGGGCCTCAGGCGTTGAGGAAGAAAAATTTCCAATTGGTAAGGGGGTCAGGTGATTGGCATTGCGGAATACCACCGCCACTTTTCTGGGCTATCCAAAAGTCTGCTTTTGGTTCCTGCCAGATATCCACCAACCTGACACCATCGACGCTTGAATACACTTGCCCTATTCTGGGATAGCCATGCATGAAACGCAGCTGTCTACGGTCCCAAGGCGCAATGTTGTTGCTCATCCGAAAGTGAGTGACAAGCCAGCAAAGCATTGGTAAACACGATAAATCGAGAAACACTAACACAATAAATAAAAAAACCCATGAAATCGTGAAAGGACGTATTAGGAAAGGGCTTCATGGAAGCGGCTGTCGTAAAAACGATGTGGGGAAAGCAAAGTCCGAAACACATGAGTCGACAAGCGAAGGCCAGCAGGAAATAGACCAGAAATAAGACCGACAAAACAGACCTGTAATGAAAATAGACGAGAACGAGTCGAAAGGATTGTTCAGTGATTGGCAAATATCAACTTTCCTCAGTTGCATTTTGAAAGTTTCCTTTTCTTACATCATGTAATTTTTGAGCACATTAAATTGGGAATCGAAAAGGCGTACAATATGCGAAGATCCCGACAACCAAATTTTGGTGGAACACTGCCTTTGAGTCAGCGTTCGATACATTAAACTACGAAAATGTTTCAACTGAGTCTTCTCAAAACCGCTATTTTAAGGTGGATCAAAAAAGAAATGTGAGCATGCTTCCGATTTTTGTTACAACATGACCGTTGCTCTTGCACGATTTCCCGAGGTGATCGTGGCTGGTTGTTCGAATATGGGATGCAGGGTAAGTTAGCACCGTCTCACCAATTGTCCCACCATCATGATACAATAGGAATAACTTGACCAAATCAAAAATAACGATCCTTTTCAACTGTGTTCGTCTCATTTTCACTTGAGCTTTACCACTATCACAATACTGGCTCTAGTCAAAAATAAGGTCATGCGGGAGTGTGGCACAGGACCGACGTATACGACCCCCCCCCCCTTGGGCCCCTGGCAGGGCCCGTCACGCGTTGATTTGGAGCTTTTCTGGAAACGAAGTCCCCCACGACTTCGGGAAAATTTACGAAGTCCTATTCTAAAAGTCAGTAAGCCCTTATTCAATCAAAATAACAATAAAGCGAAAAAGCGCATTCCTAGGTATTCAATATAACAAAAAAGCAAAAAAGAAACATTCTGAGTTAATTAGGCTCTGTCACTGAGTATGGTACTATTTCGGTGCTCAGAATGTCGAAAACCTCCCAGTCTAGCCAAATTTGTAGCCTCAACAATGGCGATGCAATTTTCACCACATAATTTGAAGGACAGCGCATGTGATTGGTGCGCATCTATCAACGCGTAGGATTACACTACTACGGCTCCAAAAAAGAGGAGAGGCAGTGGTCTGATTCGCTCTGTTCACTATATGATAGATTTTTCACCGTTCTAATCGTCCAAATCAAAAAGAGCCAAAACTTATGTGGACTCTCCGATATTTATGCTCCGAAGCAACCCAGTTGGTTTGGTGTTGGTCTAGAAACCAACAAATTTGGGAACGGATATTAGGACACATAAGTTTTTGGAACTTTTTACATAACATAGTTTGGAGTAATATTGCATATACTTACTTAGATACTCAGATGGCCCGGCTTCACGTGACGTGCGGGCCCCAGCTCAGAAGTTTCCATTTCTCCCTGTCCCTCGCTTCTGACATCCACGATCTTCTTGGCTGACGTCGGTGGCTGCGTCCACGAGTTCCAGGTGCAAAAATCGTATCCAGCTGATTTCTCAGCTGGTCCATCCGTTCCACGAACACGTCTGCCCATCTCGTTGGTGGTCTTCCTCGGGGACGTTTTGCTTCGCGAGGAATCCACTCTGATGTTCTTAGTGTCCATCTGTCGTCTGTTCTTCTCATGATGTTCTTCTCATGATGTGACCGGCCCATCGATGCTTCGCTTTCGCAACGTAATCCGCTGGGTCAAGAAGACGGGACATTCTCCTTATATCCGTACTGCGAAGTCCGACGAGATGTTGTTTGTGTCGGGTCATCTTCAGAAGACTACGCTCTAGCGCTCTGTGGGTGGTCCTTAAAGCTTTCGAAGTGGCGACGGTCAGCCCAAGTCTCAGCTGCGTAACAGAGCGCCGGGAGAACGGTTGAGTCGAACAGGTGGGCACGAAGCTCCGGGTCCGTCAGTTGGTCGGTGGCTTCCTTCAGAGGCCCGAAGGCGGCCCAGGCTGCTCTTCTTCTCCTGTTAAGTTCTTCTCTCAAGTCGTTCTCCATGTTCATCGAACGTCCGAGATACACGTATGAAGACGTCTCCGTGATAGGGGTGCCTTCCAATTCCATTTCTGCATCTTTGCAAAGGGCGTTCTTCATGAACTGAGTCTTCTTCCGATTGATTCGCAGATTCATTGATTTGAGAACGATGTCGTCCGCAAAAACGAAGGTTCGACAGGAATCTCCCATCAACTCGTATGCCTCTCTCGTCCCAGTCCAGTGACTTCATCACCCACTGCAAGGCCGCGGTGAACAGCTTCGGCGAAATTGTGTCGCCTTGTCGAACCCCCTTCCCAATTGGGATGGTCAGGGGGCGATGGAATAGCTGCATCGTCGTTGTACAGTCCTTGTAACAGTCGGCTAACGTCCTCACGTAAGCTGGGTCCACTCCTTGATCGACTAGCGCAGACAGGATGGCGTTGGTTTCGACGCTGTCAAAGGCTTTCTCGTAGTCGACAAAGGTTAGGACGAGAGGCAGTCGGTATTCCTGGCAGACTTCTATGACCCTCGAAACCGTCTGGATGTGATCCATGCAGCTGAATCCTTTGCGAAATCCAGCTTGTTCTTGGGGTTGGGCTTCATCCAGTGTCCTTGATATGCGAGCGAGGATAATCTTCGTGAAAAGCTTGTACAGCACACTCAGCAAGCATATTGGACGATAGTTCCGAAGATCTTCCCGTTCACCCTTCTTGAAAAGAAGGACGGTTCTTGATGTTCTCCACTAGTCGGGAATCCTTTCCTTCTGAAGGTAAGTTGTTAGGTGCGACGCGAGGATCTCGCGTAGACGTTGTCCTCCAGCTCGCAAAAATTCGACGGAAAGATGGTCTGGTCCTGGAGCCGTGGACGTCTTCATGGTCTGAATCGCTGTGCGCACTTCAGCAGGTAGAATTCGTGGTGGTACTTCTCCAGTGGGAACAACGGGCATCGGCACGGGTGTTGATGAGCGGAAGAGGTTGGTATAGAAGTTCTTCGCGATAGATTCCATCTTGTATCGGGAAGAAGTCGGAGTCCCGTCTTCGTTCAATAGTGCAGCCAGCGGTACGCGATATTCACAGAGGTCCCTTCGGCACTTCTTGAGACTTCGTCTTCCTTCGGCAGCTTCCAGTATCTTGGCTTGCCTGTACTTCCTGAGATCCTCCTGCAAAGCTGTTCTGCAACTGGCGTTGGCTATCAGTCGCTCGAGATGGGTTGCATTCGGATCCTGCCTCAGAAATCTTCTTCTTTCAAGCATTTCCTTGGTGGTCTTCGAAACGCGTTCAACATTCTTCTCGGAAGTCACTGAGGTGCACTCTCCGCAGGCTCGCAATCCTTTCAGAAGCCGGTCGTAGTCGTACGTTGGGTCCTCCTCGATGGGCCAGTCACAACTTGATATGAGTATCTCCAGCCTGTTACCGTCATAAACGACATTCTTCCTTCTTGCGGCACTGTGGCAGACCTTCTTTTCCAGCCTTCGACTGAATCGTACCTTCGCTCGAAGGAGGCGGTGATCGGAGCCACTGCAGAAGGATGGAACTACTGAGATATCGAGCAAGCTCCACCTTCGGTTGGTGAGAATGTGGTCGATCTCCGCGTGGGCGTTCCGTTGGGCGATTCCCATGTCCACCGGCAATGTTCTTTCTTCATGAAGATGGAATTTCCATGGAAAAGTCGTGCGGCGGAGAGAAGCCCAACAAGACGGTTGCCGTTTTCGTTCCGGAGCCCATATCCAAACTTCCCGATCCTATATTCCTTTTCCAGTGGCATCCCGATTTTCGCGTTGAAGTCGCCCACAACAAACTTATAAAAGGACTTCTCGTTGCGGACGACCTCCTCCACATCTTCGTAGAAAGCATCTAGTTCTGATTCGTCAGCTTCTGATGTTGGAGAATAGCAGTTGATGATGCTGATGGTCTTCTGATGTGGAGGTCGTAGTCGTAGGATGCCTAGTCGAGGTGATAGGATGATCTCGTGCGAATCGACAAGATGGACGATAGATGAGTGGACGAGAAAGCCGACGCCTCCCACGTTTCGTGATGGAACCTTTTCACCACGAATGATGAGGGTCCCATCACTCATCTGTCGAACGTCCTTCTTCCTGGACTTCGTTTCCTGCAGAGCGATGATGTGGTAGCTGATGTGCTCTGCAGCGTCGAGAAGAGCGTGGAGGTCGGCGTTTGTGGAGACTGTCCTGGCGTTGTAGGTGCAGAGCATGAGGCAATCTCCATGGCGTGTCGTCCGGGCAGACGTGTCGTTTTTGTCCAATCCGAAAAGCGCCCTGAGTACCCTGACATCGTTCTTGCTACCACCCGGCGCCGTAGGCGGGATCCGATGTACAGGGTTTTTTCTAAATCTTCTTGCTGTCTGAGTAATAAAATTTGTTCCCCTACAAGAGGTGGCTTACTAGGCCTACTGTTGATTTCCACGGGGCGATCGCTGACTTCGGGCTTGGAGCGGGGAGGGACCGCCTAGCGACCAGAAGAAGCCAGACGGCGGAGGATCTGGCGTGGCCAGTTCTTAGCTAGGCATCCGGCCGAAACCGGAAACGTCGAACTCCTTCACAGCTTGGGAGGCCCTACCAGAGTATACACTCGGCTGTGCATCGCAGTTCGACACCTAGTGTCACCCCCCACGCCACGATGAGGCGACCGACCATTGTGGGCGATATTGCATATAGATAGCCCAAATTAGGAGCCATGCGATTGTTTCTGCGTTGTAGACAAGCCATTCGTTTGTTTGAGTCTTGCGTTTGAAATTCGCGCGCTTGCGTATGAACACGTCCAACTCGTAAAACCTGACATGTTCGTTCTTTATTTTTTCGGCGCTTCTTCCAGGGCCTCATAAAAACGATATCCCCGCTGCCTCTAATTCCAAAAACGAAGTCCAGTTTGACCCCAAACCATCTGTGCCAGGCCCTGCCCCCGGCACGACCCCCTCCCCATTCTCTACCTCCCCCCCCCCCCTCCTTCTCATCCTCACCAATTTTCAGGTGACCATCATCATAATCATAACTTATAATAACGGGCTAAGGGTTGTTTACGTCTTTTTGTCTGTGTGTGTGTGTCTGTCTGTCCGTTACGAAATTTGAAGAGCGTGTTCCAGCTAACGTCCTGAGCCCAAATTTTGCATAGCGCACGCTACCAGCATGAAAGCTCACTATACAAAAGGAGCGGATCCGTTGAGTGGATCCATTGAAAACTGCGCGTCAAACGGTTCCGCTTGGCTTGTGGCCAGCAAATTTGAGTCCGTAGTACTACTTTTGCAGGATTAAGGATATATTTGACAAGCTAATGTGCAAGCCATGGACGTTACCTAAAAAGTGATGAAAAACTACATTACGGAAACAGCGCCAAAAAGGATTCGCTGTGTAAACGGTCATTCAAGAAATTACCTGATCATTTGAGAAGATTTTTGCACAGAGATGTAACCCACTATGTTTATTGTCCTTACGGCGACTATCAAGCCATAAGAGTTCCAAAAACCTATTCGAATTTGCATCTCTTTCTCTGGGAAAGATTTTGCCCACGCGAAAATACCGATCTCACATGGAA